AACACATAAAATATTTAAAATATTACTAAATTTCACCCTTTAAATTACTTACCAGGCAGATCATAGTGGCTCACGCCTGTAATCCCAGCACTTTGGAAGACCAAGGTGGGCAGATTGCTTGAGCCCAGGAGTTCAAGACCAGCCTTGGCAAAACAGTGATACCCTGTCTCCAAAAAAAAGATATAATAGTGTATAGCTGTATCACAGTACCTAACACAGTGATTTACACATATTAGGTACTTAATATATGTTGCTGAGTGACTTTTTGAATAAAAAATATGTGATGTTTATTTTACCCTATGACCTGAATTTATTTAGCATCAGAATTTCTGAGCAAAACGTTAAGATAAATGAATGACTTGCTTGTTCCGTACAGGCACTTTTGTTTGCTAGGGCCATAGCATTCTGTGCCAGTTCTTGAAAACTGTCGAAACAGTCTGCTACTCTTCATTTGTATTTCAACTCAACTTAATAATAACAACTGGACTTTCGAAAATATGTATTAACCTCTTTGAGGGCTTATACATACTTCCATCATATAATTATTTTCAAGGAAAATTAATCCTTTAAACCTATTTACTAAGGAAAAAAGTTTTTAAAAACTGTATTATTCTGTTGAGTTAAAAATTTCCTTGTTAATTTTGGTGCCTAATAATATCCTCTACCCATTGTTATATAGCGATTTTTTAGTCATTTTACTATATAAATGCTATTGTTTGATAATCCTCACTTCAAAACATAGTCAAATCCTCTTTCTCTTTAAGTGTGGGGCTGGACTTAGTGACTCTCTTCCAAAAACAGAACATGGCAGAAGTGATGAGGTGTGATTAGGTCATAAACGACATTGTGCTTCCACCTTGCTGTCTATCTGCCTCCCAGCTATTATGTCATAAGGACACTCAAGATGTTCTATGAACTTCATGTGGAAAGGAATTGAAACCTCATTAACAGCAATCAGCAAGAAATAAAGATATTTTTTCTACAGCTGTCTGAGTAAGAGATCTTAGAAGGGGATCCTCCAGCCCTAATCAAACCCAGTCGAGTCTAAAATGACTACATCCCAAGTAGAAATCTTAACTGCAACCTATGAGAAACCTAACACAGAACTATCCAGCGAAGCCACTCTGAAATCCCTAAACTACAGAAACTATGAAAGAATAAATGTTGTTTTAAGCTGCTTGATTTGTTATGGGGATAATTCATGGTGCCACAATAGAAACTAATACAAATGCTGTATTATTTTCATAAAATGCACTGGAAACTTTAAAAATTCATGTTTTAATTTCTGTGTTATGAGTTTCTCAAACTAGTATGAAGCAATAAACTCTGGACAATGTCTGCATAATTATTTTAGAAATATTTTGGATAAATATAGGATGACGGAACTTTCATAGTACAGTAGAGACTACTGATTAGATGATATAAACAGATTTGGTAATCTAAAAAGATATTTATTTTTGTGTCTGCCCAAAACTAAATTTTCTCTATTAATTTTTTTCCTAAAATAATTTTTCTCCTTAGGAAAAAAAGCTAATTTTCTTTTTAAGAGCAAAAAAATAAGGCCAATCACAACAGCTCACGCCTGTAATTCCAGCACTTTGGGAGGCCAAGGCGGGTGGATCACAAAATCAGGAGATTGAGACCATTCCAGCTAACACTGTGAAACCCTGTCTCTACTAAAAATACAAAAAAAATTAGCTGGATGTGGTGGCATGTGCCTGTAGTACCAGCTACTCGGGAGGCTGAGGCAGGAGAATCACTTAAGCCTGGGAGACAGAGGTTGCAGGGAGCTGAGATCATGCCACTGCACTCCAGCCTGGGCGCAGAGCAAGACTCCATCTCAAAAACAAATAAATAAAATAATAATGACAATTTTTAAAACCTATGCAAACCCATGCTCTGACATAACATAATACTATCATTTTAGCACATCTTTCTAATGTGTATCTTTAATATTTTAAAAACATAAGATCATACTGTACATGTTTTAAATTGAACATGAATTTTTCATGACATTTAACATTCATCTCTGATGTAATATAAACATCTTCATTCTAAGCTCTTCTCATCTCCGTTACACTATCATTCTAGATTAAATTATTACTATCTTTTGCCTGAGCTGCTTGCCTTTAATAGGTGGAAGGCTTTACCCTTGCCCATACAGAAGCCCGGTGGATTCTTGTAAAGTATCGGTACAGTCACATTACTTCTCTACTCCCAAAAAACCTAAATTTTGTTCACCACTGACGACGCTTTGCAAGATCTGGCACCTTGCCTCCTTTCAGCTCTCATTTCCTATCACTTTCATCTTGCTCACTGGCTACCTAGTTTGCTATCAGGGCCTTTCACTTGCTCAGCTCTGCGTGGAAAACTTCTCCCACATATTCACAAATGTCTCACTCCCTCATTTCATTCAGTTCTCTGCTCAAAAGACACTTCTTCAGAGAGGACTTCCTTATTCTAAAAAGCTCATCTAAAAAAGCTTTCCTTATTACTTAGACTTTTTAAATATAATCCTGTCATTATTTGACATTACATTATATTTGACAGGAGATATTTACCTGTTATTTGTCTCCCTAAACTAGAATGTCAGTTCCAACAATGCAAGCACTTTGTCTGGCTTCTTTATCACTCGATCCTCTTTGCTTAAAACAGTATCTGACACAAGATAGGTACTTAATAAATATATTTTGGTTAAACAACTGTATGGATATATAACTCTAACAATAAATTATTGTTAGTCAATAGTAATTACTTGGTATTTACATTCCTGCTTATGTTTTCCTATTATGAGCAAACATGGCATAAACATATATATATTATACATGCCAGAAACATGTAAAAAACTTCTATTTTTTTTCTAAGATTTAGGAGTCAAAAATATGGTTATTTTTACAGTTTTTGATGCCTAGTGCCATACTGCTTTCCATCAGACAGTTATGTTTTATATCACTTCAGAAATTAATGAAAGCTACTTTCTTCTCACCTGGAAAGACAATCTGCATTTTCCCTTTTAAAAATCTTAATAGGTGAAAGAAAATTTTTATTAAGATTTACCTTTTTTCAATTAGTAAAGGACATTTTTATATGAAAATTATCTATTTACATTTTTTGCATGAATTGCTTCTACATGTCCTTTGCTCATATTTCCGATTTGCTTTTATTCATTGGTATGAACTTTTTGTGTATATCCATTATTTAAAACATGTCAAAATGTCATTTTTCACAGTTTGTAATTTGTCTTTCAATTGTGACTACTGTATTTTAAATTCTACTGTACAGAAATTTAAATTTTATATAGTCATGTTGATTATAGTATTTTACCGACTTCCTAAATGGCTTTTGACTTTACTGTACTCTTAGAAAGCTTTTCAACTCACTGTTCAAAAGGCATTCACTTATTATTTTATTATTTTCTTCCAGCAGTTAATATTGAAAAACTAAAGAAAAATATAGTGTATTACAGCTTTACTTTCAGAGTAAGTAGAGCTCTTATTGCCTTGCTTTCCCCCTCAACTGGCTACCCAGCTGCTCTCCTTTCAATAATTCATCCTTTCTCCACTCACGTGGATGTGAAATTGTGAGATGCCACTGTTTTTTATATTAAAAGTACAGACACAATTAGACCTTCTAATCTTTCTCCTTAAAACATAAATAAATAAATAAATAAAAAGCTTAGGAACTGATACAATACCATCCTCGAGCCAATCATTCCAAAGGAACAGAGAAATATTTTTTATATTTAGCCAATATTTAATTTGATATTAATTATCCAGAAATCTGGTATTAGTACTCCAGTAAGAGACTCAACACCTTTGCCCATGCTACATTGCAACCAAATTTAAGAATGTCAATTTGTTACTTGAAAATATTAACTGTACATTTTTAAATAACTAAAAGAGTGTAATGGGATTATGTTATTATTACACGCTGCATGCTGTATCTAAATATGTCATGTAACCCATAAATATAGACACCTACTAGGTACTCACAAAAAATAAAAATAGTGATAAAACGAAAAAAAAAAAAAGTCAATTCGCTCAAAACAAAGTTGATTATCACTTTCAATCAAGATTCGCATCTGGAAGATTGAGAACAGCACGTCAGGGTTCTCTTGGAAAAGCTCTAGGAATCTTGGGCGTCCATTGAGATGAAGGAACATAGGATGAACTCCTGGAAGGCTTCCTCAGACCTGGGGAGGGAGATTGTCCCCAGAACCCGTGGAGCTAATGAAAGCAGGTAGTAGGGGACCCTCCATAGAAGTCCTCTCAGTTATTCAATTAGGGGGTCCCAATTTTGAAGGATATCACTGGGATTTCAATACCCTGAGTGATATAAATACATTAGGAAAAAACACGACAGAAAACTATAGCTTCTTTACAGCCTTAGAAAAGTAAAACGCATAATTCCTAACTCCAGAAGGGCAGTATTCGAGTACATTGGTTTCTTTCTCCCTCGACTTTCACTTGAACTTTTAAAATGCTTGCTCTGGTGGTCAATAGTATTTTCGCGTTCGTATGCCGCGTACCCTACCTCTAAATAGATTTCATCCAGAACCCCAAGTGCCGAAGACAAAGCTAGTTGCAACGTTTTAACCCTCCCCAACTCCAACCTCTACTAGCTCCCTCGGAGCAGGCGAGGCACCAGCCCCGTGAGAAAACACTGCGATCTGGGGCGCAGCTGTGACGCCGGGTATTTCTGGCCGCGATCTCAGCGGGTAAGCCACCCCCCGCCCCCGCGCGTTATCAGCTCCCTCCAAGAAGCATTTTTATTTGACCTCCTCCCATGCAGACCCTATTCCTACACCAGTTCTCGTTCTGGAATCTCTTTGGAAATCTGTAATTTCATTAATCCCACAACCACATTCCCACCTATTCCCTAACGACAACAAAGTTTGAAGGTCTAGGTTACCGCCGCGTCGCCCTAGCAACCGTACCCATTAATGGTTGCCGGAAAAGGCTAAGGTCACGTGCTTCCAAGAGTTCCGGGTGGCCAACGTGACTTCCGGTTGTCAGAATTTCCCCGATTCGGCGGCGGCCGAGGGAAAGCTGAGTGGTCCCAGGTCGCCGCGGCCCGGGTGGTGGTGGGCTCCGGGCGGGCTCACGTCATTTTGCCCCCGCTGCGATGCATCCGCGGCGCCCGGACGGATTTGATGGCTTGGGCTATCGGGGTGGTGCCCGGGACGAGCAGGGCTTTGGCGGCGCTTTCCCAGCAAGGTCCTTCAGCACCGGGTCGGACCTGGGCCACTGGGTGACGACTCCCCCAGACATCCCCGGCAGCCGCAACCTGCACTGGGGCGAGAAGAGCCCGCCCTATGGCGTGCCCACCACCTCCACCCCGTATGAAGGCCCTACGGAGGAAGCCTTTTCCAGTGGCGGCGGCGGCGGTGTGCAAGGGCAGAGCAGCGGTGAGGAGCACGGGGACCGAGGCAGGGGTGGTGGGTGAGTGGGGCCGCGGATTGCGGCCTGGAGACCCCGGAAGCGGTGCAGAGGGTCCCGCCTCCTGTTCCTTCTCATCCTATCGCGCGCGCCGCACCCTTTGCCCTCCTTTCGTCCTCTGCCCCTGAAGCAGGCCTCCTTAGTCTTCCTCACACAAACGAATTCTACTGGATCAACTCCAAAAAAGACATCTGCCTTAGCTATGGGGTGCACAGTAGGAATATTTAGAGGTTTGGGCATCTCAACTGATGGCCTGAGTTAAGAAGGAGAGTGGATTGTTTACTGTTACCTGATTCACTTTGGCAGCTGTATTTTCTTGATACAATTATTTAATTAATTGTTTACTTGTAGTTTTGTGTTCTGAAAAGAGAAGCCTTTCAGCATAAGCAAATTTGGGTTCAAACTTGGTTCTACCACTCATAATCTGAACAACTTGACCTCTGTGAGCCCTCAGTTTTCTCATCTTTAAAATGTGTAGAAGAATCCAGTATGGGACACACAGGCCAAAAAAAAAATTGTTTCCTTTCTTCTCTTTTTTAAACACAGGAGTTTTATCTGCTTTTGAAATCCCCCAGTCTAGAAAGTTTCCTTTTTATAATTTTCCTTTCTGCCTTCCTTCTTCTGACCTAAAAACTACACATAAAAGTTAGAAACATTGATACAATTTCAAGATAGGACTTTGGAATCATGACAAAATTATTCTCCATGGGATGTCAGAAAATCTGCAACACTGCATGATGTAGATATTTTCATCATACTTTTTTATTCATAAAATGTGAATAATGGCTACCTCTATCCATTCTCTTGGAATTGTTAGAACAACCGATCATTTAATATTAATTTTATTGTAGACATCAGCTTTATTCTATACATTTCCTCGACTTTGACTTGAAAGTACAATAATGTTTATTTGCGTTAACTAGGAAGAATAGACTTTAACAAATGTCTATTGAGTAAATGAGGATGTGAAGAAGAGTGGATGAGTTACCTAGTGTCATACAATTAGCTTTTTGACTAACTGTCCCCTCTCCCCCACCACCCCCATGTTGTGTCTTACTGGTCCCAATACTCCCGATACTAGTCCAGACTAATACTGGAAAGGTTTTGCAAAATAATTCAAAAATGCATATACCGTTGCTACATAGTTATCTTCTTAGGCAGTAAAGTTTATGTTTTTATCTTTTCATAAGTTATGCTTTGATGGTTACAATGAGGAGGAGTTCCTTGACACAACCAAGGGGTTTATTTTGCAGCCCTAACAGGTGGGTGAATGTTAATTTTGCACCAAAGATAGACACCTAAGAGACACAATAAACAAGAATAAACCTTCCTAACACCTTTTAAAAAATCTTACTAGCATTTTCTGTTATTACTTGGGGATGATATATGCATATAAAAAGGGTTTAAAATCTAAGGTAAAAGTACCTTAAGGGGGTAAAAGAAGCTTTCTGTTTAACTTGTACATTTTTCTAGGGTGAACCATGTAGTTTTCCAGGAACATGCTTAGGTGGCCTTGTTCTGATCGAAAGGCAATAGTGGCCTGGTGACATGGCTCATACTTGTAATCCCAGCTCTTTGGGAGGCCGAGGTGGGCACATCATGATGTCTGGAGATTGAGACCAGCCTGACCAACACAGTGAAACCTGTTTCTACTAAACATACAAAAATTAGCTGGGCCTGGTGGTGGGCACCTATGATCCCAGCTACTCAGGAGGCTGAGGCAGGAAAATTGCTTGAACCCAGGAGACAGAGGTTGCAGTGAGCTGAGATCGCACCACTGCACTCCAGCCTGGGTGACAGAGCTAAACCCTGTCTCAAAAAAAAAAAAAAAAAAAAAAAAAAAAAAAAAAAAAAAGAATAGTGAGGACAATTGCTTCATTTGAAAGAGAAGAGGAGAAAAAGAATTGTCACTTGTGAATATTGTATTATAGTTAGAATTTAAGTCTGGTCCCTTGGGGTTGTAATAGTTCACCACTATGACTCAGTTTAGTCAAGGAGAAAGGCTTCTCTTTTGACATAGGCATAGTAATGTTTTCCAGCTGTGAACTTTTCCAGTAACACAACAGACATGCCATCAGTAGTAGCATATATGTATCCAGTAACCCGTCTCAAACTATTTAAAACTTAAAGGGATGGTGAAGAAGAGAGCTGTATTTACCCATTTTGGTTATTCCTAAGTCCCCTTTCAAATTAATAATTTATACGTGATTTACTTGCAGTTATTGGTTTAATAAAGTGCTCTCCATCAGTAACAGTGAATAACTAGTTTTACAGCATAGGACGTAAAGTAGTAGGTGGAAGTATCAGCTATGGCCAGCCACAGGAAGTTTTTTATTAGAATGCAATCAGAAGCTGGTAGCCCTTAGGTTCTATCTGCATATTGGTTTCATTAGGCCCAAACAATATTTTAACAAGTTTTGAAATAGTTGTCCAGGACTTTAAAATTGGAAGATGTTGTATAAAAATGAGAATATCGCCGGGCTCGGTGGCTCAAGCCTGTAATCCCAGCACTTTGGGAGGCCGAGGCGGGTGGATCACAAGGTCAAGAGATGGAGACCATCCTGGTCAACATGGTGAAACCCTGTCTCTACTAAAAATACAAAAAATTAGCTGGGCATGGTGGTGTGTGCCTGTAATCCCAGCTACTCAGGAGGCTGAGGCAGGAGAATTGCCTGAACCAGGGAGGCGGAGGTTGCGGTGAGCCAAGATCGCGCCATTGCACTCCAGCCTGGGTAAGAAGAGTGAAACTCCGTCTCAAAATAAATAAATAAATAAATAAATAAATAAATAAATAAATAAATAAATAAAATGAGGATATCTATTTTTGAAAAAATTACAGCTTCAAAACCCTGCACCCACAGTCCCATTTTGCAGTATTGAATTGGAGTGAAAGAGTAATTGTGCCTTTAAAAGGTCTACACCTTTCAATCTGCCTCAAACCCCTGCAGAGTCCTTCATTCATTTAAATTATTTTCCTGGCCCCTACCAGAATTTGACTTTGAGGTTTAAATGAACAGCATGTTAATAAAATTAACTTTTTAAAATTGTTTTTAGAGTAAACCTAAATATTAGTTATCAGTAATCTTATTCTTATTATTCTTATTATTATTTTCATTTTAGAACAGCTGAATAGATTTGCTGGATTTGGCATTGGACTTGCAAGGTAATGTTTTATCTAAAGACATTTAAAGCTTTTATTGATTTAATTTAGAGGTTTTTTTTTAAATTTATAATATCAAATGATTATTGCTTCCTTTAGGTTGTTTCTTTGAAGCAGTAGTTTAAATTTTGAAATATTTTGCAGAAAAAACATCATTATTTAAAATATATAATTTGATAGTTTTTCTAGTAAAGATAGACTAGTCATCCAATTTTATAAACACAAAGTAACTTTGTAATGAGTATTGTGACTGCTTTCATGGATCTGTCCTAAGAATAAAATGAAATGTACTCTTATCTCTCTCTCATCAAAAAAAGTAATTTCAAATGGGGTTCATGAAGATCTAATGGCTCTGCTGATAGGAACTTTGTTCATAGGACAATTTCTGAAAGACATAAAAATTACATGGCATTTAATGATGCCATTTAATTGATGTGTTATTTCCACATCAAACACAGAAATTTACTTTCATTGTATACTGTAAATATTAATATTACATATTATGTATTGTTTCCCTTATTTATCCATTTCCAGATCTGATTTTCATTCTTTTCATGGGTCTATCCAAAGAATAAAATGCTATTTAATTGATGTTTCATTTGTCACATTAAACATGCAGAGATGTAGTTTTATCTTATGCTATAGATATTAATATTATGTATTATATATTGTTTATCTTATTTACCAGTTTGGAGATCTGGTTTTCATTCTTTTCATATTGAATTTTGTTACTGGTAAAATCATTGGCAAACATTTCTAGACATTTTTAAATATCTAGATTTTTAAGATTTTTTTTTTTAAGAATGGAGAATATAAAATAATGCATGATTCTTCAGGCAAGAATAACTTTAGAAAGATACATGTTGTAAATTTAATTTGTCTCTATGTAGACACATATATATATAAATTATTTTTATATAGTCTCTTTACAGAAAATGTATTGGCACATCCTTGCATTGTTCTACGCCGTCAATGTCAGGTAAATGTAATTTCTGTGATCTTTCGAAGCAATAATTCTGACCCTAATATGAAGGGCAGAACTCACATAAATGACATGAAACCAAGTAGTCATTACTTCATGTCAAATGTTCCAAACTTTTTGGTCTCAAAACCTCTTTAAAGTCTTAAAAAATAGTAAGGATCCTAAATAACTTTGATTTATGTTGCTCGTATCTATTGGTATTTCCCATTTCAGAAATTAAAATTGGGAAAATTTCAATGTATCTATATAATTCTGTAAGGTAATTTTATGAAAGTAACTATTTTGCATTTTTGCAAATATCTTTAATATCTGACATAATAGGAGACAGCCAGTTTCTCTCATATGCTTCTGCAATCAATTGGTTGCATTACGTGGTTTTTGAAAGAAGCAGGGAAGTTTAGTCTTGTACACATGTGTAGTTGAAAGCAGGAGGGGAGTATTTTATATTCTTGTGAGATAATTGTGGGTATTCTTTGCAATTGCACCAAAACTCACTGTGTGGTAGTTCTTAAAGGTTATTTGCAATGTGAAATCAGAAATCATTTTAGTGAACTTTTTAACTTTGTTACATTAAAAAATCCATTTATCTACACTGCATCTTGAATAGCTATTTTTACTTATGCATGATTCCATATAATTGTGCATAATTTGAAAAATATTGACCAATTGAGTTACATAGATCTTCGACATGTTAAAACATTTGATTATAAAATATCAAAAAAATCATCTTCATTAAAACCACTACTGATCTCACTAGAAAATCTTTAAGTATTGGCAGCTCTCAGTGGTGGATATAGATTTTCCAAAATTCTGAGTTTTACTTGAAAACTCAAACTTATTATTGACAATAAAAATTGTTAGTGATTTTTGTTTTAATCAACACTCTAACTTTGTTTATTTTTAAAAATATGTCTGTCCCAGTGGTGAATAGGTATAGTCTGTCAATGAGTTTTCCTAAGTAAAAATGATGTTCCATGACAAAAGTGGCTAGTTCAGCTTGTAATTCCATCATAGAAGTGCTTTTCTCATGCCAGCTATCTTACTTCCTGTGTAACATACAGGATATTAATTAGAAAGACGATGTGTTCTCAAAGGTCAAGGATTCATAAAATCAACATTTTGTTGCTGCATCATCAAGGGTATTCTTATATGAAGGTTACTTTCTGCTTACTATGGGTAAAAAAATGCTTGCCAAAATGAACATGAGTTGGGAGATGTAATTCAATTCTTTAAGGCAATACAAATGTCAAATAAGACCCTGTTTATTATATAGCTTACATTATTATGTGTATTATACATTGATCATCAGACTATATTTATGTCACCTTATGCGCTGCACTTTTAATGGGTTATTTCAAGCACTTTTAAGAGTAATTTTGCTTATGTATAATTTATTGTTGGCTTTGGAATTAACTTTTGTTTATGCTGCAGTTCTACCATATATCTTTGATGGCCTTGTTATTTCTTAACATTAACAGAAAAAAATCATGAAAATTTTTTTGCAGGTTAATTACCATGCTCAGCATTACCATCTCACTCCATTTACAGTCATCAATATAATGTACAGTTTCAACAAAACTCAGGTGAGAATTTTGTCTATGGATTCTGTTAAAGGTTTATTAAGTGTCATTGGGCTTAGTAATCATTAATGCAAGAACAATTACTTTCAATTTAGGTAATAAAACATCTTAACTATTGTAGTAAAACTAATGTAGCACAACGATATGCTTTGAATCTTCCAAAATTTAATTTAGCAAAAGTACAAATTTATTAATTTGGCAAAACCACAAAGAGCTGAGCTAAGATGGTGTCTCTGCTATCAAGGGGCTCATATTCATGGAGACAAAATCTTAAACAGAAGATTGTGGTGCAATAAGATAAAGGCAATATTAGAAGCACAGAATGCTGTCAGTATACAAAAGAAAAGTACCATATCAAAACAGGGATTGGGCACAGTGTACGACTGGGAAAAACTTTGGGAGAAGAAATGCCTGAATTGTGTGCTTATTGTCAAGAAGCCTAACTTCGTGATGAGGGTAGAGAAAAGGTTTTTAAAGTAGATGTGTGAAAGCAGAAGACAAAGAGAGATCATAAAGTTTTGGAATGGATTTAATGTAGTACAATGGGAGCTTGAAGTGGGGGCTGAAGAGTAAGAGATGGTTGAAAAAGTAGCCAGAGAAGTAAGCAGGATCCAGATCCTAAAGCACCTCCTAAGAACTGCACACTAGATCCTAAAATCTACAAGAGTACGGTTGAAGGTGTTTTAGCCATGACCAAAGTATCTTGAAGAACTTTGGATTGTTTGACAATATCTATCAAGATTTAAAATGCACGTGTTCTTTGACTTACTAATTTTACTTCCAGGAACTTATCCCACATAGATGTTCACATATATATGCAAAAATGTATATACAAGGAGGTCCTATGACATTGCATACAGTAGACTGGAAATGATTAAATGTCCATCACTAGGGTACCAGTGAAATAATTATGGTATATTATGGTGAAACACTTTGTAACCTTTAAAAATAAGAGGGTAGCTCTGTGTATATTGATGTGGAATGATCTCTGGGATATTTTTTATGTTTCAACATAATACCACCTGTTATAAACAAACCAAAAATATTTCTATGACATACACACAGAGATATACTTGTATATGCACGGATTATCTTGAGGATAAATTTTAAAACTGCTGCTGGGGACTGAGATGAGAAGGAGACAAACTTTTCAGCTGGTACCCTATTGCTACTTTTTAATTGTATCATGTCTATTAATAACATAGATAAATAATAGGATTATTACTGATGGTATTATGCAAAGGGGCAAAACCAGAGACAGTGAAACTTGTAGTCAAATTGATATAAAGTAATAGTGTTAAGTATGGAGAAGAGCATGGAGTAGAATTTATAGAATGTGGTGACTGATTACATAGGAAGAGTGAGAAAAAATGTTTTCTGAATGTATGGTTTGGTCACTAGGATGATGAAGCTGCTATCAAGGGAGATAGGAAATACAGCAGAGAAAGAAACAATTGATATAGTATGAGTGAGTATGATTGGGTTAAGATGTGGATATGTAAGTTTCAAGTTACCTATGTGTCATTCACAGGACAGGACTAGTAGGGAGTTTAATATATAGACATTAGGGATATTTAATAAATTAGTTAATCATTAGGGGTTTAATTAACTGGAATGTTCTTTTTGGCCTAAACATAACTTTAAAATGATAGAAAATTAATTTAATTATAGTTCTCTACTAATTGGAAAATTTCTATACAATATCAAGTTTTATTAAGATCTTTTGTGTTAACAGAAATAACAATAAATTTTGTCTGTTTTAGGGACCTAGAGCCCTATGGAAAGGAATGGGAAGTACATTTATTGTCCAGGGAGTCACACTTGGAGCAGAAGGCATAATTAGTGAATTTACACCTTTGCCAAGGTACCTTTTTTAGCATTTCTTTAGTATTAGTTTCATGTTGTGTTTTTTGTTTATTTGTTTTTAGATTCATGGGGTACATGTGCAGGCTTGTACATGTGCATATTGGGTGATGCTGAAGGTTGGACTTCTAATAATCCTCTTACCCAACTAGTAAACATTGTACTCAATATGTACTTTTCAACCCTTGTCCTCATCCCTCCTGTTATATTATTTTAATAAAATACGATAGTTTCCAAAACTATCTTAAATCTGAAAACTTGTCTGAAGTAGCTAAAAGAAGAAACAAAGAATAAAATTAATTATATCTTATTAAATTAGTATGTGATAAGGAAAACATGTCTTGGTTTAGTATCTATTGAGATGTATATTTCAGCTTCTACTGCTATGTGCCAGCAACTGCCAACTGAGGAACAAATGTGGGTATGTGAGCAGTTCTTGCTCTTTAAGTATTCAGTTTAATTAAGGAGACACATGTAAGCAAGAAGAGGTAACATACCCAGTGTCATGGGGTTGGACAGTCTAGGTCACGTGTCCCCAAATTACGGCCTTTGGGCCACATGCGGCCCCCTGAGGCCATTTATCCGCCCCCCCCCCCCACTGGACTTCAGGAAGGGGCACCTCTTTCATTGGTGGTCAGTGAGAGGAGCACAGTATGTGGTGGCCCTCCAACGGTCTGAGGGACAGTGAACTGGCCCCCTGCGTAAAAGGTTTGGGGACGCCTGGTCTAGGTAATAAAAAGAGTGTCTTATATTTAGAACACTGGGTATGTATGAAATGGAATATTAGGAAAAGAAACTGAAGTGCTAGATTAAAATATGATTATGCCTTTGTAAGTTTATTCTCTATGGGGTTGGGAATTTCTTTCTTTTTTTTTTTTTTTAAATATATGGATGTCCTGATCAGGATATACTCGAAGGCAATGTAAAATAAATGGACTAGTATAGATAGATTTGTGGAGATCTATTGTAATAATCTAGGCAAGACTGAGAAGGTTCTGAACTGTGGAACAGAACAGAAAGGGATGAGCGGAATAGACATTTCTGAAGTATAATTGATGATCATAATGTTAGCTTGCTAATTAGAGATATGAGAGAATGAGTTGTCGGTAGTGACTGAGATTTCTAGATTGGAAAATGCTAACCAAGATAGGGAATTCATGAAGAAGAATAAGTTGGAGTAGGGAAGAAGATAAAGAATGTATCTTTCAATAAATGAAGTTTGAGATTGTTGGGAGGGGGACATGACTAATATTTGGTTGGAACCATGGATCAGAGTTTTAAAAAAAAAATTGAAGCAGAGGCAGAGCTTTGAATGTTATGGCATAAAAGTAGCAATTGAAGCTTAAAGTAGATGAAATCACCTAAGGAGAAAGCATAGGTTAAATGAATAAACCGGACCAAAGACAGAATCCTAGGCATACATGTGTGTATACGTGTGTGTGTGTGTGTCTCTCTGTGTCTGTGTGTGTGTGTGTGTGTGTCTGTGTGTGTGTTGTGAGAGGTAGTTGGGGGAGATAATTAGAGAAATTAGAAGGGTGTGTGTGTGTGTGTGTGTGTGTGTGTGTGTGTTGTGAGAGGTAGGTGGGGGGCGATAATTAGTGAAATTAGAGATGCCTTTAGAACAAATTGGAAATAGCATAAGATGTAGGACAGTCATGTTCTAGAAACCAAAAATGGGAGAATTAGAATTGTAGGTACATTTGGAGAGAGAGGATAGAGAAATTGGGGAAATTTGCTTTTGGGTCTTGTTTTCTCTGTGAAACAGTATAAAGGGTTATTTACATAGTATCAGACAGCCACAATGATGGGTAACAAAGGAATCTTACAAAGGGTATATGAAAGGAATGTTAATAGATAATATTGGAAATTAGAAATTTTTAAGGTGCTATTTGGCATTACTCTGTGAGTTTTCTATATCAGCACTATATTTTGTATATCATTCCATGGATAATGTTAAAAGCAACAGTTTGTTAATCCAAAGTTATTCTCTGGCAGGGTGAATTTTTTGGATTGTTAAAGAAGTGAGATAGTTGAAAGCATAGCTACTAGTGTATCAGATATGCCCAATGTTGGGGTTTAGTCCTTAAAGGGAAGGAAATGAAAGCAAGAAAAACTGATATTAAGCTTTTTTCCAATGTGATTGCTTTCAAAGGATCTTATAGTCTTTCAGTGTCTTAAATACAGCTTTGCTAAAAGGTTTGAAACAAAACAAAGATTAGAAAGGTCAGCAACATTTGGGCAGCTCAAAGTTTCTTATTTTATTCTTTAAAAATATGTATTTCTTTGGCTAACTATTCACTTTATTGCTTTTATATCACTAGATAAGATCATAAGTTAATACTTAATCAAATATTCTTGAAATTCTCTAACAAACAATTCTATAAAAATTTAACGAAATGTAGGAAATTCCATTTGGTAGAGTGAAAGAAATTCAATGCAGTTGTTCCTTTTATCTGTTGGGGAGTGATTCCAGGACCTCCAGTGGATACCAACATCCACGGATGCTTAAGTCCCTTATATAAAATGGTGTAGAATTTACATACAACCTGTGCACATCCTCCTGCATACTTTAAATCATTTCTTGATTACTTATAATACCAAATACAATATAAATGTTATATAAATATGTGTTATGCTATATTGTTTAGGGAATAATAACAAGAAAAAAAAAAACTCTGTACACATTCAGAACAGATACAACTATCCTTTTTTAAAATAAATATTTTAAATCCACAGTTGCCTGAATCCATGTATGTGGAACCCATGGGTATGGAGGGTTGACTATATTTGCAATCGGAACACTAATAACAAGAAGAAAAAAAAACTCTGTACACATTGGGAACAGATACAACTATCCTTTTTTAAAATAAATATTTTAAATCCACAGTTGCCTGAATCCATGTATGTGGAACCCATGGGTGTGGAGGGTTGACTATATTTGCAATCGGAACCTGGCTGTTCCACTTTTTATTTCTGGGACCTTAGGCAAGTAATATTGCCTCCCTAAAGCAGAGATGAAGGAATAACATTAATTTCAGGTCAAAGGGAAGAAAAAAGAAAAATACAAATGGGAAGGCATAGGATTTTATAAAATTTTATCATCTAACTTTCTTACTCAGTAGAGAAATAGACATGTCAATTTAGTGGAAATATATTTTTATCATTTTGAATCTTACTAAAGAAGACAAAATAGTAACCTCTATCGTATTGTCCTACTTGGATAATATTGGTGATAAATCCCACTCATTAATTCATTCATTTACTTAGTCAGCATTTCCTGAGTATTTACTGTGTGCCAGGTTCTATGCTAAAAACAAGGTTAAGAAAAAGGAAAAGAAACAAAAGATAACTGTTGCCTGGAAGCTCAGAATCTAGTAAAAGTACATTCACTAAGAACAATAATTCCATTTATGAATAATTACAAATTGAAATTAATTTTCTGAAGGAAAAGAATATAGTTCTATAAAGAAGTATTAAAGGGTTTGTAACAGTGTCCTTAGTAACGTGACACTTAAGCTAGATCAGAGTGGTAATTAGGAGGTACATACCGGTTTATAGAAAAATGCTGTGGCAGTGGGCAGCATAGAGAATTCAGGTAACTGAGAGAAGGCTTATATGGCTGGAGGTCTGGCCAGGGGCAAGGTGCAGAGCAGGTGGGAGTCAGAACATGTAGGCCATTTTAAGAATATTGAAGAGTTTCAGTAGGGTCAGTGACATCAGATTTGTTTTCAAAGGTCATTGTAACTGTAGATGGAAAGGTTGCATGAGGACCAAAGTGAATAAAAGGAGACATCATGGTATGCTTATAACGATAATAAAGGTGAGAAATGATAGTGGCTAACATCCGGGTGGTGGCTTTTGAGTGGACAGTTTTGAAATATACTTAGGTCAAATTGAGGAAATTTGGTGATGCTTTTGGAATGGTAGATGAAGGAGAAGGCAGTATCAAGGATGACTTCTCATATTTAGGCTTGTGTAACAGTCAAATGAAGCTGTTTTTTTGAACTATAGTGTGAATATCTTTTTAAAAATTATTTATTATTCTTTGGGCAGGTTTGACCTTTACTGTTTATGAGAAGAAGGCAGAATTGTGGCAAGCGAGGTCACAAAACATTGACTAAAAACAATTCACAGAAGCTACTACATGAGGAGGATGAGCTCTGGGGTCTCCTAGCCTGGGGTTTCTTAATTGCATAACAATTACTAGGTAGAACAGGTGAGATAGTCCAGATTTGCCAATGTTTAGTTTTTTTATACAGTTTATGATCAAATCAGAGAGAAAAACAGATCTCTAGTGTTCATTAAATCAGCAAATTTATAATTTCTCAGTAGTATTACTTTTTAACAAATTATGTATTACCCAGGATCATCATCTGTGATCTCTTCCTTTATCTACTGCCAAACCCTTCCCAGTCCTCTCTCCCAGTTGGAGTGAGTTAAACTATGTGTTGTTCTACCCCACAGTACCCTTTACCTAATTTACATGTGGCTTTTTTCATACTGTTAATGTGAGGTAGGAGTTCCTGTAACCAAGACTACTGTGTGGTTCAGTCTCTCAGAAAACTGATTTGGTTCAACTCCAACTTAGTTTTGACTCATCACACATTTGTGGTTATACCACTGTAAACATCTTGTAGTCTTCCTCCAACAGTTCCCTCTGAATTTGCTTATTTTAAACATATGTTGTTTTAAACACAATGAAATCTTCCTCAAATTTAATAGATTTCCTTTCTGATTAACAGTTCCTGAGTAGGGAACACTAAAAGAGTTTAAGCAGAAAAGAAAGATTTTAAGTTTGACTTCAGGACAAGTGCATTTTCAAGTCTTTTATCATATCCAGGTGGAGTTGTCTGTAGGCAAATGATACGGGGCTGACATATAAAGAAGCCTTAACTGAAGGTCAATTAATTTGGGAGGCTTTGAAGCTGTAACCTTAGGTGTGATGGTCCCTACAGAATAAGGATACCCTATAGTGGAAGAAGAGGGCCTGAACCTTAGGAACTGCAACAAGGGGTGCTGGATTAGAAAATGTGATCCTGAAAAGGAGTCAGGAGAGACCAGAAGGCAGGATAAAAACCAAAAGAGAATGGGCTAGTGGAGTACAGGGGCGTGCTTCAAGGAGTGAGGAACACGAAGCTCTGATGGCAGCTGAAATGTCAAATAAGGTAGAGAATTAAAAATGTCTATCAGATTTAATGACATGGAGATTACTGGGGACTTTGGCAAGAGCTGTTTTTATTCCAAGCCAATTTGGAGTGGATTCAGAGGTGAATGGGAAAGTACGGACGTGGAAACAGCAAGTTGAGGAAGTTGGCTCTGACTAGTATAGAGAGAGGCAACCAGAAGATGAGTGGTTCAGGGTAGGTTGCGGAAGATTTTTTTTTTTTAAATGAGGTTAGCTGTTTGACCATTTGAAAATTAAAGACTGCTGAAATACACAGTTATTTTAGAATTGTATTGCCTTTTTGTGTGGTTATGCATAGGAGTATGTATTTTGTTCTGTTAAATGAAAAACTAAACTGTTTTGAGAAAAGCAAGGTACTGTGATAAATTTTATTAATTTTTTGGCTCATTAGCAAGGACTTTTTTTATGTGAAAATCATTAATTTAGGTATATTTACATGTTTCATATTGGGTAATGAATTATAAAAAGGTTTAATCACAAGTTTTTATGCTTAACCTCTACTGAAGCTTTTAATATGCTTACTTAAATTTCTAGAGCTGTGACAGTAAGTTTTACCCATTTTATAAAGTAGTAGAGAACAAATACAAGGAATAGTCCCAAAAACATTGTTTACATACTTGGTTTTAAGTCTCCTTTTCTTGTATCTTAATGATCTTAAGAATTGGCAGTAGTCATCAAAGGGGAGGTAACTCAGAATTACAGTTATATTTAAAGGGGAGGCTACCCAGTTCTTAGTGTTTAGGACAGGTTTATATTTAAAATTGATGTTATCATAAACTGTGATAATACTTTCTGAGGCCATGAGTATTAGCTGTGCCAAGATGATTTACAAAGCATGCAACATATTTTGTTTTATAATCATAAAGTAACTGTTGGTAAGATGGGAGGCCTAATCTGTTTTTTATATTTTTGACTAAATCATTGAATAATATCATTTCAGCTACATTTTCTGTGTTGTTCAGGCCAAATAAATAACCTAATATTAATGTAATGAAAGTGTGGCCCAGAAGGTGCTCTAAGGTCTTAGAAATCAGGGGTAGTTGTTCTGTTGTCTGAAAGTATCTGATGTTTGTACTCCTTTATATGCTGCTGTTTTTCAAATTCAGTCATTTGAAATAGAAAACATTTTTCTAGATTTCTGCTGTAGCCATGATGGAATGGGTACCAATTCTATCAGAGGATCTGGTATAGCAAGTCTCATCTTCATTTTGCACTTCCCGTTGTTGTTCTTGTTCTTTGTCATTTTTCTCCTATCTCCCCTACATTTTCATTTTTTTCCTCTTAGTTACTTTTTTTCTCTCTATAATCTTGTCTCTTTTTTGACTTTTCTTTGATAGAACTTACCCTCTTTTTTCCCCCTTTATTCTATTTCAGTTTGTCTCTGTTTCATCTTTTCTTTCTTTTCTTTTTCTTTTTCTTTTTTTTTCCTTTTCTTTTCCTTTCTTTTCTTTCCTTTTCTGGTTTCCAAAAGTAACCTAACTAGCAGACAGAATGCACACAACCCTAGACCTTGGTTCCAGACCTGGCATTTTGCCTGTTTCCTTTGAACATTTCCCTGTGATCTTTTTGACCCTGATTTTTCGCATCAATAAGACAAATGTGACAATATCTGCTCTCCTTATCTTACAAGATTCCTCTTTGTATCAAATAAGATAAGAGGTAGTACAGGCAGAGTACCAAGGTTTAGAACGCACTTCCACGCTAACTGGTTACTTGGCTTCGAATAAGTTATTAACCCCCTCTGATTCTGTCTCCTCATCTATGAAATGGAGAAAATACAGTTATTATGAAGATTAGAATAGTTCATGCAAAGCACTTTGCATAATCATTGCATTTAGTAGGTGCTCAGGGAGATAACAGAATATAATAATGGTCAACAAATTAATTGTACTAAGTAAAGATACTTAGACATTAGATACTACAAAAATGTACTATGTCAGCCTGTATTAGAGTTACTTAATTTCTTTTTATTTCTCCTTCTTAAATACTTTGTAAAGCCTTTTTAAAATCCTGTTCTTTGTTTCCCTATCCTCTTTCTTTTAACCTAACATCTTAATTTTCTTTCTTTAATTTCTCATGTTTACTTTCATAATCGTTGTGACTCTTGCTTTTCTGTCAGCCCCTTCTATCAGCACATACAAAAACACCTTATATATTTTATTTTCTCTTAAACCATCACAGTTGTTTGCAGTATGTTCCAGAAAAGAAAATGTTTACCATTAGAATATATTTCTCCCATAGATTTAAAAAAATTAGAAGTTGATTACTGTTTTGAAGATTGAGCTAATTCCAGATGTCTTAAATATTATTGCTTTTGGTTTATTTAAGTTCATTTTTATGTTTTAGGGAGGTTTTACATAAATGGAATCCTAAACAAATAGGAGAACACCTTCTACTGAAATCGTAAGTATCAAAAAAAAATGGCATTTTATTTTACGTTTCACTAATTTTTATATTATTGGAACTGGAAACAAATCTTATTAAACAATTGCAGAAAAAGAAATTAGAGCAGTGAAATGTTTGTGGGACTAGAACTTCAAAGGACAAGTAACAGAGTTTAGGAATAAATCCTGAAATATGTATCATCTTTATTAATCTTACTAATTTGAAAGGCTGGAATCACAGACTAATGTTGTGTGTGTGTTCTTAGGAAGTTAGCATAAGTCTTCCATTTATTTAACCCAAATTATCAAGGAAAGTATTACTATTTTATTGTTAATCAGATACAAATGTATTTGTATGGTGATGAGCAAACCCAAAAAACTTTAGTGACATTGAAATGTAGTCCTAAAGGCACTTAGTGATTTTACGAGTAACCATTTTTGTAGATTAGAATTTTATTCTTCACTTCTTAATTTTTTTTTTGAAGATTGTGAATTGGAAATCCCCCAGCTTGCTGGCTCCCTCAGTGGGACATTCCAGCACATTATTACTTAGTGATGTTCCATTCACCTTGAAAACCACTACTTGCCAGGACCTGGCCCATAAGGGTTAGGTAAGTCCCACCTTGATATTATTTTGAATAACTATATTTTGCAGGCTTGCAAAGTTGTAATATTACTATATCTTAATATTGGTGATAGGAAACAACTTTGCAAAGCTGTATAATGTTTTTTTTAATAATAAAAGGGGACTTCACTCACCATTGAAGACTGGCTTAACGCTACTGGATGGGAAACCTGGGAATAGATATGATAATAGAATACTTGCTGAAATATCACTAAAAAGGCAAACTGTGGGATGGATCCCTCATCCTAAATTTTAAGTTTTAGATTTATAGGCTGCATTAGCTACGTGTAGGTAGATGTCCAATGTATTTTCCTTGCAGGCTGTCCTTGTTTTATCATTTGTTATTTTTTTCATCCCTGTTGAATAAAGCATCCCATGTTACAGGTTTCTGAAGTTAATATTTTTGGGCTACAGGTGTTAATAGTTAAAATCCTTAAAAAGATAATTCTAGCTTGAATATAAATTTTGTTGACATATTAAAGCAGATATTAAAAAATTTAGTATAAGCATCTTATTTCAGTATACTGATAAATTTGTTTTAATTTCTACAGCCTAACTTATGTGGTGGCAATGCCTTTTTATTCAGCAAGTCTGATTGAAACAGTGCAGGTGAGCCTTTTTTTTAACTGTCATTTTTAAATTTAAGAATACTTTTTGAACTACTCAGTATATTGTAAATGTGTAATATTTCAGCAAAAAACTTTAAGACAGTGTCTTAAATGTTTTTTATAAATATCACATTTACATCACACATTGCTTGTCTGTATATTTCCATTGCAAACTTAAGTCACACTTCTAGTTTTAATTATTTTTGTCCTTTTCATAGGCAGCTATACTCTTCATTCAGATCTCTCAGAACACAGCCTATAACTTGCTCTGAAAACAAAGAATCTATAACCTCTTTAAGGCCCTTACATACAACTTGGATGGTTATGGCTTATCACAGGACAGTAAAATAATAATTGCCTGAGAATAAACATGATGGATAATCATCCGAACAGGAAACAGTTTGTCCCCACAGATAGTTTACTAACGGCATTCTTTTTAAATATGCCTTTAAGTCACATTTGATACTATTGGGTGTGGTAAATACTACAAAGCTGAAGCAATTTTCTGCGAGCACTTTAAATTCTGTTTGCCTGTGTTACTAGTCCTAACCACATGGTGGCGCTTCAAGTACGTTGAATTAAATGTCATACCCTCCTTCCTACACTTAGAGCTTTGAGATGAAGGTAGTTTTAACTTCCCCTGTATACAAAATCTAACTATTTGTACACCTGTCTTCTTCCAACATCAGATCTTCTAGCATATTCTTTTCTCTAGTATATGTGAGTGCCCTCTCTGTAAAAACTCCAACTGGATCAGCCTTTGATCTTCTAATTACTATTTTCTACCTTGTTTCTTTTTGGCTATATCATTCTGTGTGGAATGTTCCCATGTGAGACCCCTAAAAGGTGTGGGTCTCACCATATGGTGAGCTTGATCCCAAACACAGTTTCCTGCTGGAGACAGTCGAGCTATTGGAAAGAAGGAACTGAAAGATGACTGATCAGTTTCTAATATCAACCACGATATGGTTTGGGCCTAAACTATGCGGTGTTGCTAGACTAAGTGACTCCATACCAGCAACCAGTTTCTGCTTTTAACTTTTATGACTATTTCTTTAAGAATAGCTTTAACCTTTTCTTTACTTGCATGATTGCCTTGTACCCTAGATAATGGTTTAACTGTGGGGATATTTGCAAAGCAAATGCCACTGTAGGGATGGCTTTGATCCCAGACTCAGAGACTCCTGAATGGGGGGAGTTGAGATAAGTTGAGTCAGGAGCAGACAAAGGAGAATCTGGTTAAAAGATATTCTGATGAGCAAAACCAGAAAACCTTTTCGCATGTGAGTCCTAAAACAGGATCAAACCAAAAGTACCTGCAGCCATGAGGAATAATGTCTGGATGTAAATAAGCTTTGTGATCACAGGAAATTCTATTACTTTTTACAACCACTGATTGTGTATCTGACTTCTGTATTGTATAGGCAATGTAAGGTATAGATTTGCATTTCCTCTTGCAATGACATTAACCAGAGCAAAGAAAGCATATTTATTCCTGGCCTTTGAAAAATAAATTTGCTGTTTTAGATACGGCCTATACAGCCCTCCAGACCCCCGCGCTCTTTCTGACTCCCTTTATTTCTTTAAGCGCACTCTCTCTTCCAGGTTTTGGGACCCTCTTGCAGGTTGAGAGATCCCCTGCAGACGTGCCGTCCCAACCGTCCCCGACATCATTCATCTTTGATTTATTATTGTTGTTGTTTTTTCTGTGAGAACCAACTTCAGTTAACTGAAGTTAACATCTTGTGACCCAAATATACTTTCCTTTCCCCTTCCATTTGGCATTCTGTTAAACAAATGATACAATTTTTGTATGGTTCTATCGAATTTACAGAGTTGTCACTTATATGAGATATTCTCATTTTAAAGATAAGGGGAAAATGGCAGGAAGGTAATTATTTAAGGAAAAACAACTAAGCAGAATGATTTATTGGGGAAAATAAGTTTTAGCTTAAGACATACCCATTATCACATTTCTCTGCTTAAATTAGACCTGGGACTTTAAACAGATTTCTTAATCTTTATAATTTTCTTAATTTTCTCATCCATAAGTTAGAAATTGTATTTTAATAACTGGGGTATAAAACTGAATGCATTTTTCATTTTGGTGCCTGGCTCATTATGTGATAGGGTTTTTTCTGTGTGTTTTTTTAACCCAATATTTACCCCTTGTTTTCTGCTTCAAGTGCTACCTGCTAGATACCAAACCTTTTGATATCTTTTGTCTGCTTTTCTAGAACTCTTTTTTCTTTAGATTTCTCTCTCTTGAGCCTCTTTCAGTAATCTCTTCTGTTATACCTTAAGGCTCAGTCCTTGACCCTCTGTTTTTTATCCCATACTCATTATTCCGAAAAAGTTTACAGGAATCACTATAACTCTAATCTTATGTGAGTTAAATCTTCAAAGTCAACTTTTAAAAATAATCTCATCCCTCTAAAAATTAGCTTCCTTTAGAATCTCTTCTCCCTTGCAATATATTAATGATACTATTGTTATCTTTACACTAAAGACTCAAAAATTTAAAAAGTTTTAAAAATTTAAAAGTTTTTGTTTTAGGAAAGCTTTTTATTTTTACATTTCTTTCATCCTTCATAATTAACTGGTCATCATGAAGTTTGTAGTGATCTATATTTTCGTTAAGAATCCTTGAGGCCTAGGTGGGCGGATTACGAGGTCAGGAGTTTGAGACCAGCATGGCCAACATAGTGAAACCCCGTGTCTACTAAAAATACAAAAATTAGCGAGGTGTAGTGATGAGCACCTGTAGTCCCAGCTATTCAGGAGGCTAACGCAGAAGAGTTACTTGAACCTGGGAGGCGGCAGTTACCATGAGTCAAGATCACGCCACTGCACTCCAGCCTGGGTGACAGAGCAAGACTGTCTCAAAATAGAATCCTTGTACTAGTCCCTGCATTTTAAAAGTCAATTCTATGTACTCATACAAGACTGTTTTTAAGTTGCAATGCTTATACATCCTTTAACTGATTAAGGATTCATATTGACTCATATTCCCTAAAGTCAACTTCAGACTTCTTATCATAGTTTTAAATCAAGGTTTTAATTATATCACTTTACCTTTCAGATTATCTTCCTTAACTGCTAAACTTTAAAAAATAATTATCAAATATTTATTGAGTACTTGCCTGTATCAGGAGCTGTTATAGACCCTAGGGATACAAGTCAAACAAAACCAAAATGTTCTGCGCTCATATCACTTATATTCTTATGGGGAAAGTAGACAGAAATATAAGGTATACTTGATGGTGATTAACTGCTAAAGAAAGTAAAAATAAAGCAAGGAAGGCAAATAGGATGTGTAATAAGTAGGGACGAGCAGTTAATTTTTTTTTTAGAAATATAAGTAAAGGCCTCACTGAGAAGGTAACATTTGTGTCAAGGTCTGAGGCTAAGAACAACATGGATATTTGGGAGAATATTCTAAGCAGAGGGAAGGCAAGGGTGAACGCCCTTACGTGGGACCGTGTCCTGTGTGTTTTACCATACATGCTTGAGAAGTAGTAAAGAGGCTGATATGGTCGGTGCTAGCTAACCACCAAATAAGCAAATATTAAGTTTTGTTTAGAGGGAAAGTAAGTGAAAAACTCTTAAGTGGGACTGTGTCATGTGTGTTGTATCTTGTATGCTTCTGAAGTAGAAAGGAGGCTGTTACGTTATGGTTGATGTTGACAAAGCAAGGGGGAATATGGGAGGTGAGACCTGAGTGGTCAGAGGGGACCAGATTATATAGGACATTGTAAATTATTGTAATAACTTGGCTGTTGTTTAAGAAGGATGGAAAGTCTTTGATAGGTTTGGGCTGGACAGCGATGTGATCTGACATATCGTTATTGGGAGCTCTTTGACTGTTGTATTAAAAATAAACTGGAGTGGGAAGGAGGTCAGGGTCAGAAGTAGAAAGATGGATTAGAAGGCTAGGCAAGCTCATTGTAGTCTCAGAGTTTTCAATATCTATTTACTGAAGACTCCCATATTTATACTTATAATACAATGCTCCTCCACTTACAATGGGATTACATCCCAGTAAACCTGTCATAAATTCAAAAAATCATAAGTTGTGACATCGTAAGTTGGAAAATACCGGTAGGTCCATTGTGTACCTTTTTTCCTGTAATTTCTATTGTGAACTCCATTTAACGTTTCTGAACTCTTGATCTTCACCAAATTGCTACTCTGACAATTTGTCAGCTCAGTAAAAGGCAGTGCTATTCCCCAAGTCCCTCTGGACAAGACCGTTAGGGTTATCTTTGACCCTTCTCTTGCATACTCCAAGTCAATCCACCAGTAATTCCCGTAGACTTTGATTTTAGGATAAAAGCACAAATGAACCACTTCACTTCTGTTGCCATCATCTCTTTACTGGATGACTGCGGTAACTTTTGAACAGACCTTTTAAATTTTATCTTCTACTTTTCTGCAGTCATTGCTGCAGCCAAAGAGCCCTTTTAGCAAGTTATTTTCTATCTATACTTCTGTAATCCGTATCAAACTTTCTTATTCATAGCTTCAAAATTCTACAAAAGCAGACATTACAGATGATAGTAAGACTAACTTTTTTTGAGTAACTACTGAGTGCTAGACCTTTTTTCATTTAGTATTCACAACAACCCTGTGCATAAAAAGTAGATAGTGCTTATTTCCATTTTTGTAGAATGGTAAACTGTACTTAGGAGAAGTTCAGTAACTTTACAATGGTTACATGGCCAGTAGGTAATGGAGGCAGGATTTAAACCTGTTTAAGAACTGTGAGCACTAAACTGTCTCTTTAAGCATCACATAGTTATTGCCTTTCCACAAGAGTTCTAAGGAGTTTCTTGAGATATATCCACCTATGCAGCTCCCTAGTCTCCCTACCCTAGTAAGATTAGCTTCCAGCTTCACTGCTAGCAATTTTATGAGATTTCATCTGAAAAAAAATCTGATGCCTAGGTAACAGTTAACATCTGCAAATCATTGATATTTTCCTTTTCAGTCACCACTTAAAAGGAACTTACAGTCCTTTTTGTGTGGCAAAATAAGCAAATGTTAAGTTTTACTTGTTTTATCATTTTTGTTTCAGAGTGAGATAATTCGAGATAATACTGGCATTTTGGAATGTGTTAAAGAAGGAATTGGAAGAGTGATAGGCATGGGAGTGCCTCATAGCAAACGACTTCTTCCGCTTCTTTCCTTGATCTTCCCTACGGTGCTTCATGGAGTTCTTCATTATATCATCAGCTCAGTTATTCAGAAGTTTGTCCTACTAATTCTAAAGAGAAAGACTTATAATAGCCACCTAGCTGAGAGCACTAGCCCTGTGCAGAGTATGTTGGATGCTTATTTTCCAGAACTTATTGCTAACTTTGCTGCCAGTCTTTGTTCTGACGTTATACTTTACCCATTGGAAACAGTTTTGCACCGCCTTCACATTCAAGGAACACGCACAATAATTGACAATACAGACCTTGGCTATGAAGTGCTTCCAATTAATACACAGTATGAGGGAATGAGAGACTGTATCAATACCATAAGGCAGGAGGAAGGAGTGTTTGGTTTTTATAAAGGGTTTGGTGCTGTTATAATACAGTACACACTGCATGCAGCTGTTTTACAGATTACCAAAATTATTTACTCTACACTTCTTCAAAATAACATTTGAGATTTAGGTTCCTTCACTGAGTAGTCTGGAAGATAGAATCTGGATAATTTGCTGTGAAGTTATGAGGGATAGAAGCAAAATACTGGGGAATAAAACAGATTGGAAAGTAAAATTGGTACAAAAGCCCATGCTGATTATCTTGACTTTGTTTTTTAAGGCATAGGTATATATTTTGGATCAAAACTTCCAAATTTGAAAATGCAAATTTAATAAGTGTTATGAAAATAACACTTAAATTCTAGTTATTGTAGCACTTATGCTGAAGTAAACATGATCCTAGGCAGAAGCAAAATTTTATTATAAAATATAAAACTTTATAGAGTTGAATCTATTCCATCTGACTTAAATATTTGTTAAATGTTTATTTTACCTTCTGGATTGATGTTGGTATAGTATCCTTAATACACTGTAGTGTATTGATGTCCTTAATACAATCAGGAGGTTTTTACCTTTAAGCAAATAAATTCCATCATTGTTGAAAAAGACTTAAGGGATGATTAGATTTGGCAGTATGTAATCAGGAGTATAAAGGTTTTAAATTGCATTGTCCCTGTATAACTATTTTAATGGCTAGATATATATATTTTATAAAGCCATTTATGTACACACATAAAACTTGGAATTTCCTTCATCCCTACAAGTTTTCTACACTTACATCACCTTATTACATTAAACAGAGTCATGAACTTCCTGCTTGAACATCAAAATATCAAAAACCAAGGTACCCAAAAGATGCAAGTCAGATACAACATCCTTGTCCATAGCCAAACCCAGTGTTACAGTGCTAGCAACTTAATTTGTCATACATTTATAGACTTTGGTTTGCTTTGTTAACTGTGTGAATCATCAGTGGCTGTTTTTAGAGCCACTCTTTAGAGAGAATATAAAATAATCATGACGATTACTACTGTTTCCACATTTACAAAGTGTGTACTTAAATGAACCTCATTTGCCTTTTATTTCTGAACGGCTTGTCTGAGAGGAAACAAAATTAAAATTCATCTGAGAATTTGTGCCTCATCTACTATCTAGTTGTCACTAAATAACGGCTTCTGTTTTCCTTTTCTTTGAATTTTTGCTTTAAGTTTTTGTTTTCCAAACTAGATGTACATGAAGGGAAAAACAATTAGTCTTATCACCTTTTATTTAAACTTCTTTAGATGAGTACTAAAGAAAAATCCAAACCTTAAAGAAAATGTGCCCTTGTGTTTTATGGGTGAGGGGGAAAAGTACATTTCAACGTATAATAAGAAAAAAAAATCAGTTTAATAAGAACATGTCTGTTTCTAAATTTAATTTGGTGGGTTAAGCACTTTGTATAGTAAAATGATATGTGTTTACTCTATCATTCGACATGTTAAAGTTTCATTTCTTCACATAAATAATCACAGTTGTAAAACGAACGATTTGGTACTCTGAAACACAGTGACTTTGCACTGATATTGTCCAATCAAGAGTGCATACTAACTGAAATTTATTTTACTTGCTAAAGGTCACAGTAATGGTTACTTTTTGTGACTGGTAGTGTTGGAACAAAAAAGTGATATCCAAAATGTGTAAAAACAGTAATAAGTAGCAAATCTCTTGTGTGTGTGTGTGCGTGTGTGTGTGTGTGTGTGTGTGTGTAATTACTGAAACACCTACATTTTCCATTTTTAAATTCCACCAAGAGGGAGAAAATAAAATTAAACACCACTTACCACATTTTGTATTTTATGGCAAATCTTTTAGATTGAGGTTTACTTTGTCTAACCAATAGCATTTAAATTGCTTCAATTAGGGTAGTTTCAGATAAGAGTAAACAAGAAAATTTCAAGTTTGAAAATTTCTAGAAAAGCATCTGAATAGAATCAAGTCTTTACTAGTAAACATCTGTAGGATCCTTTATTTAGCTAAAAATTAAATATTTCAAGATTATTTGTTGGAAGTTAGCATGAAATAGTTACATAAATTCATTTTATTGTGGAATAATTATAAGAGTGATAGGCTGAACCACACACAAGTAAGGTTGATCTTGTTTTCCTTTTTGGAGGAAGAGAATACAAATTTACACTAGAATTGAAATGTAGAAAGTAAAATACATAGAATTTTTTTACTGCCATTCCAGAATAGTTGAAACAAAATCTTGAACAGTCAAGCACTTAAATTTAAGCTAGCCAAATATGTTGCACTGAATTTTGAAAAGAATAAGTGAGATACCCATAAGATATACTCTTTCCCTTTTAAGAATTGTTATTTTTCTTTAACATAGGTGCCAAATCAAATATCCATGGGCTACACTTCTTAAGATAATAACACTCAAAATAATATTTTGTTAATTCAATAGTACTAAAAGCATTATGGAAAAGATTCTATTAAATGTTCCACAGGCCCCCTGGTCCTCGTATAAGCCAGATTTTGGCCACTGAGCTTGTGATACACTCGCCTTACATTGTAGGGTTTCTTAATTTGAGTCAAGTACACTGAAAGCATTTCAAAACTGGTAAATATTAATTTACTATCTAAAGTGAACTTATGAATTAACTTACTAAACACATATATGTAGACCTTCCTGAGATGTCATTCTCAATTTTATATTATGGACCCTTAAAAAAATTATCTGGGTTAATAAGATTATTTATTAAAGCCTCCAAAATCTCAGCACTAAGTTTTATAAATATGAAATAGAAACAAGCTAATTTGAAAATGCATATTTGATACATTAGCTGGTGTTTTCAGAACCATATAGAACTGGAGAGATGAGATCTTGCTTACTTTTGCAGGTGTACCTGACTACTCACAACTGTCCTCTCAGCTGTGGCTTTGTTAAAACTGCACAAAGCATTCACTTTATTGATTGAGCACAAATGCTTTAGTGTTTCTATGTATTAGTATATCTGTTCAGGAAATTTAAAAAATGCTGCCTTGTATTTGTTTTATCAACTGAGGTTGTGGAGGATGTTTGTCCACTGATCTCTTGAAACAGGACTACTTTGTCTGCCTCTAATAAGATAGCCAGGTTTGAATTATGCTCAAAATTTATATAAGCAAATAAAGTCTCTTGATAACAATTCTTGATAACACTGCACTAGAATTTGAATGATACTGTCAGCATTTCCATTTTCTCTTTCAAGTAGTTGTAAATAATCTTTTCCTCATATAAACTGAATGTGTAATGTCTTACTCTTGAGTCATTTGTGTCATTGATGTGGTACCAAGTTGTATAGCAGAGTAACAAAAACATGATTTGACAATGAAATTTGCTTATTATTGCCTCACCTAGAGATGTTTTGTCTGTATGACTTTTTTTTTTTTTTTTTTTTTTTTTAAGTTTGTCTCACTGTTACTTTAAACATTTTGGGTAAATTGTGTAATATGAAAAGTTCAATAAAATGTTGAAATAAAACGAGTGTTTTTCTCCTACTGAGTTGAGAGGACTACTCAGGCCAGTGGTAAAAGATAAAGTATATTTTTTTAGGTAGAAATGAAGTTTAAAAAAAATATGTGACATTAAACTTTTTTTGCACACTATTTTAAAAAATCTATAGCATCCTCACAACATTCCTATGACATTTTTGGAGTTGTGCTATTTGATTAAGAAGGAAATAGAAAGAAGTGTTGATTTGTCCCACATTTAGCAACTAGGAGAGTAAACAACAGAAAAATGGCAAGTAAGCAGCTCCAAACTCCCATCCCTCCATGGAAACAGAGGAAAACAACCAGAAACTGTCAGAATCAACTTTGTCAGACTCTGGAAAGCGGTCAAAAGTTTACATAAGAATGTTACATCATAAAAAGGCACCTTATTGGTAGGAATGTTTTGTGGCTTTGACTTACCTTGGCTTCCATCTTCTCTGTGGATCAGTGGCATGGCAGTCTTAAAAATGGCAGCTTGGGTGCCCAGTGTGGGACCTGATTCTTGGTTCTAGAAGGAATATAACAGGCATAGCTTGTTGTAAGGCAGTAAAATGACATATTTATAATGCTGGAAATAAATAATTTAGGTAAAAGATTAAATAATTTTATATCTAGCAAAACTACCCTTCAAGAATGAGGGCAAAATTAAGACATTCCCATGTAGACAAAACCTAATGAAGTTTGTTATTAGTAGAACTCCCTTATAATAAATAAAAGCAGTACTTCAGGCTGCAAAGAAAAGAACAGATAGTAAGTAACTTGAAGTCATATAAAGAAATAACACAGGTAAATGTAATTATATAGGTAAGTATAAAAGCTAGTATTGCTGTACTTTTAGTTGGTAATTCCTCTCTTTTCTGCATAATTAAAAAGTCAAGTGCATAAGAGCGAAACTCCGTCTCAAAAAAAAAAAAAAGTGCATAAAAGTAGAATCTGTTTCAGTGGTCACATGTTATATAAAAATATAATCAATGACAAGAACAATATAAAGCGAGAGAGATGGAGATGCATAGGAGCATAGTGTTTGTACGCTATTGAAATTAAGTTGATATTTGACTTGGTTGTTACACATTTAAGATGATAGTTGTAGCCCCTGAGGTAAATACCAAGAAAACTACTTCAAAAACATACAGAATAGGGAAGAAGGAAAACAAAATGGTATAATAATTGGGAGGCTGAGGCAGGATAATCACTTGAACCTGGGAGGCAGAGGTTGCAGTGAGCCGAGATTGTGCCATTGCATTCCAGCCTGAGCAACAAGAGCAAAACTGTCTCAAAAAAAAAAAAAAAGGATACATTACCAAACAAACGACTTAATACCAAAAGAAGCAGTAATACAGGAATTGAGGAATAAAAAGCATAAAGCATAAAGACATACAGAAAACAAACAGCTACATGGCAGAAGTCTATCCTTATCTGTAGTTACTTTAAACGAAAATGAAAGGCAACAAGTGGCAAAATTGATTTTTGAAATGATGTAGCTCTACAATATCTACAAGAGACTAATTTTAGATATAAAGACACAAGGAGTTTGAAAGAAAGGGACAGAAAAGGATTTTCCATGTAAATTATGAAAAGAAAGAGTTGGCTCTATTGTTGTAAGAGACAATAGATTTTAAGTCAAAGAGGTTACAAAAGACAAGGACATCCAACAGCAAGGCTAGGGTGCCACGTTCTCACTAACTGATGAATTGCTTCTTAGCTTAATCTTTACTGGAGCCTACAATGGAAGGCTTCTGAGAGCTTTTTAGTAGGTGTTTCCATAGTCCTCTCCATTCCTTTCCCTTCTCCAAGTTGGTATCAACCTGTCTCTATTCTTTCTTGTGATATATAGACCTTGTAGTTTGTGAGCGTCTCTCAAGCTCTCTAAATTTTACACAAGAGGTCATGTTTTCTCCCTACTTCCACTATACATACATAGACATAGACAAATAAGTTACACAGACATAATAAGTGTTGAATACATGAATCAACCATAAAATTGTGCACTCATTCTTGTCTACATATTTTCAAACTTGTTCCCTTTAAGCTAAGGATTTCAACACTTTCAAGTATCACATGACCTTTGGAAGTCATCTCCCATTAAACCTCTCATTTCATAAATGTGTAAACTGAATCCTAGAGATGTTTGGTGATTTTACTAAGGTCACAGAATAACAGAGCTACTACTGCAACCCAGGTCTTCCCACTCCCAAACTAGTCTTTTTTCCCCATTACATCACCATGCCTTTTCTGTTCCATTTACCACTGAGTTTCTCTATACATATCTATACATAGAAACACCTAAAACTCTGAACTCTGTGGCACTTGATAAACTCTTATCTCAAAAAACAAACAAATTATACTTTTCTTATCTCACTTGCTACTTTCTCTTTTCATTCCAGCTTTTGTCTTCTTCACCGGTTTCAGTTTTTGTCCTTAGAATTTTCCATACTTTGTTTTAAGTCTTTATTATTTTGTACCTAGAACATATCATCCCACTATGAACTACTTCAATTGACCCCCCCAATGTTTATCTTCAGTCTTGATCTCACCTCTCAGCTCCAGACCCATATCCCTATTTCATGTGCATTGGCACTGTGTTCTCCATTGCTGCTTAAAATTCAATGTATTAAAAGCTAAATTCATTATTTTTCTTGTAAACTGGTTCTTCCTCTCCCATAGTGTCATAATTTTCAATCGTATACAATCAAAATTTGAAATCATCTTCAGTTTCTCCCCATTTTCAAAGTCAGTTATCAAAGTCATATTAAAAAAGAAGACCATGCCTTTGGAGCCTAGAAAACTTGGCTTCAAATTCTGGTTACATGGCACACTAATAAGAGCTCTGATACTCAGTTTTATCTTCTGTAAAATGAGGATAAAGCCTTATGTACTGAAGGTTAAATGAGACTGTCTTTTAAAAACCTGCAATACTGAAAATGTTCACCTTTCCAATCTCCTTTCTATCATAATTTGTTATTGTCTCATATGTAATTAATAGGTTTTCCCTACAGCCTTATCTTTTAATAATTATACGCTACACTAACAGTGTTCTTTTTAATTATCTTCGTGTTAACATTGCTTTCCTGCTCAGTTACATTCAGTGATCAGCCAATGCCCATAAAATTAAGCTGTTAAGTGCATAATATGCCTCCAGGCACTTACGCCTTTCTCCAGTCTTGCTGTCTCCTCCCAGCCTTTCTCTGACTACTCTCACTGCAGCCCTACATAAGCAGTGGCTAGTGCTGCTACCTCAGCACTTAAACCACTCCTATTCCTGCCTTTACATCTTTGTCAGCTTTCTGATCCTACCCAGAATGTATCTTCTCATCTTACCTATACAAGACCAACCCATCTTTGGGATTCACAACTCAAATTTTAAGTCACTCAAATGGCAAATTGTTCATTGAGCATGTTTTATATCCTGAACACCCTGATGACATAGCAGGAGGGAGCTATGAATAAGACACCAGCATGTGCACAAAGGACTTTGAGCCAAACTTTCCCAAGATACTTCTATTCACATCGTTATTTTCTTCTTTAAAGTCTTAGTGATCACATCTGTTGGCGAGTATCATGGATTTCTTATTTAACAACTATGTTTATTATTGTTTCAACAATATTGTAATCTCCAACATAATGATGGCTAAATTTCATGGAATGTCAGATGTGTGCCAAACACTGTAATAAATATTTTACAAATATTATAAGTGTTATGTCATTTAATCGTCCCTGGGACTCCATGAGGTAGGCATTATTATTCTTGTTTTATGTATCAGTATATGTAAATATAACTTAATGGTATATATAACTTAAAAAATAACAATATAATAACAACAATTTACCACCCCATCTCACTCCAGCATTTAACACATTCATTGGTATATATAAATATTCAAAAGTACAAATTGAATTTATTTACTACAGGCAAGTAGCTTAAGAGTAGATTATAATTTTACAGTGTAGAAGAGGTCCTGTTGATAATCAAATTCTCATATTTATAAAATGAGTTTAGAACTCCTGGAACTGTCAGCCTGAAATCCAATCTGAAGCTAGGAACTAGCTAGAGATCTGTCTGAGGGATGGCTGACAGCCTCAGAATAAACCTACATTTGTAAGACTATTCAGAGAATCCCTCTGCCCCCAAATCAGATTTTACTGGAATCTGCTTTAAACTATTTTAAAACAAACATATAAAGTATATTAAGCAAACTCTATTTTTGGCTGTTGTAAAATCTAATTCATCTGACCTACCCTGTTGATAAAGGGAAACTTTCCATGTCTCCCTCCGACACACAGTGCCCAGGGAAAAATATGTGTTTGAAGTGATGACTTCTTTAATGACTGGTTTAGTCACAAGATAATTGCATCCAACAATGGAAACATAGGGCCCAGGTTCATTTATTTCTTTAAAAAGGCTTATGCGATGTGCTGCAACTGGTGAGCACATGACTTCTTTGGGCTAGCTGAATTAGTTCTGAGCCAAGCTGAAAAGAAAGATATATGTGGCCTGGATCATGGGGAAAGGATAAACTTAGTATGCTCATGCATTGAATAATGAAAGAGGTTCATTCTGATTTACAAAGTTTGCCATAATTGCTACAGAAAAGTCCACAACACTGACATCATTCTCAACCTTTAATAATCAAAGAGAAGGTAAATAGGAAACTATATCCATTACCTATTTTTAACAGTAGCATTTTCTTTAATTAGATCTTAAAGGTTAGGTTCTTTCCCATTACAACAAAAAGGATCTATTTATGATAGATCTATAAAAATATCTGACCCCCGCTTAAAATAAAATTGGGATATTTATAGTGACATACATCTACATACACAGTATAGCCAAATAAGGCAACAATTTGATAATTCTTCCGATCTCTGATCTCTATTAAAAATATTCACCTTCAAAAGGTAAGGCAGTAGACAAGCCACAGACTGGGAGAAAATATTTGCCAAACATAAAATCTGATTGAGGTCATGTATCTAAAACTGGCCTGACGCAGT